TAGCTACTGTAACTTTGTATTGTAACGTAATCTGAATTTTCGAGAAACTCTCCACACGCCTATAAATATAACCAAATGCGACGCGTACTAAAAACAATAGATATTATTGGTTTGCTATAGTTGGTATACTATAAGCCTCGGAAGCTATAATTGTGATTAACGCTTATTAATAGGAAAACTTCAAATATTTGTCCAGGAATATTTATAAATTTCGAACATTATAAAACATTTAACTGCACATCGGACATTAGTACTTTTACAAAGATATTATATAATTTCAGCGGTAAAAGAAACTCGACCTGTAATCGGCGTTTGATCAACGAGAACTACAGAGCTAGCTAGCTTCCTATTAAGTGAACTGTACCTTCGTCAACTTGAAATTAACTCGCTCATGGTGAACCCTCGAAAAGATATCAAGGAAGTTCCAGACTAGAAAGAAGACTATATATTGCTTGTAAGTTTGTATATAAATCATTGTTTGTAATAGCTGTTATTGTAAACTTTATTATTGTTTATATATTAAAATATATTTGTATTAACAAAGAAAACTATGTGTATTAATCTTGTTGGCAAATATCATAAATTGGATATATATTGGCATTTATTTAACTACTAAATTTATATTATTATTCAGCTGGGTTTCAGACCATGCGAAATTGTAATACGTAGCGTAATAAGTTGCAGCATGGATGGAAGCACGAGGTATGAAATATGGAAACAACCAACCAAAGGTGCAAAAGTGCAGAATCCAAAAAGACAAGCAGTCCAATCCAAAGGTCATCCACCATGATCGTCTTTGGAAGTATGTCAGATAGAGAATGGCCAACTAGTTAGCTTCAGTGAAGATTTCGGCCATGACGAATTAACTTGCTAAAAAGCCAGAGGTACCTCACGAGACCACTTTTAAAATATCTTCAGTAATGGAGCCACCAATGGATTCCCTCGACCTTTACCTGAAGACAGTAAGTGTTAATAAGGAACAAGAGGTCATCCTGCTTTTGTTCCATAAGCCACGGAAAAATATAACTAATAAATATTTGGTGACTGTATTGTTTAGAGGAATACAGTAAAGCAATAAACAAAAATATTTTATTTAGTTGATTAAAATCATGACTGCACTTTTTTCACACAATTATTTTTTTAATTATCGTAATTCCTATATTCAATAATACTGTTTTCTTTGTGTAATATAATTGTCCAAGGGACTTCACAACAGGGAGAAGATAGTGTTGTAGACTACGTTTCTATTATTTATACGTTTATATTGACTTTGGCTACAGGAAGATTTAACTTCATATGATGAGAGCATCTGTTTGTTTTGTAATTAAGCACAAAGCTACACAATGGGCTATCTGTGCTCTGCCCACCACGGGTATCGAAACCCGGATTCTAGCGTTGTAAGTCCGCAGACATACCCCTGTGCCACTGGGAGGCGATGAGAGCATTTGTTAACCCTACAATTATCGGCACCCTTTTCTGCACATGTCACGAGTTTTTACTTAATTTCATTGAAAATTTAATTAAGCAATCTTGCGATCAATGTATGTCAATAAAATTAGCATTAGAATTTACATTATAGCTCAAAGTTTTGTATTATTTAAGTTTTATTTC